TATGCAACTACCATACAACCTAGCGATTGTCCTCTTAGGCATTTATCCCAGAGAAATGAAAACTTCTTTTCTAGCAGAATCTTGTAAGTAAATGTTCATAGCAACTTTATTTGGAATAGCCAAAAACTAAAATCTACTCAAATGTTCTTCAATGGGTAAATGGTTAAACTAACTATGGTATATATATACCATGGAATACTACTCAGCAATTAAAAGGAATGAACTACTGTATTGATACATGCAACAACTCTGATGAACCTCAAGGAAAATAGGCTGACTGAAAGCAGGCAATGTCAAAAGGATACATACTTTATGATTCTATTTATATAACATTTATGAAATAACATCATTATGAAGATGGAGAATAAATTATTGGTTGGTAGGGGCTGGGATGTAGAGAGGGATGGATGTGGCTTTAATGTAGTAGGATGAGGGAGTCTTGCAGTAAATATATTAAGTACATTGATAGTGGTTGTGGTTACATGAAGCTACCCATGTGATAAAATTGCACAAAGTTATAAATACATACACACAAGTGAGTACATGTATAATTGGTGAAACATTAATAAGCTCTGTGGATTATACCAATGTCAATCTTCTGGTTTTCACAGTTATGCAAGATATTAACACTGAACCTAGGTGAAGGGTACCTGGGACCACCCTGTATATTGCTTTGAAATAGCCTATGAATCTATAATTATTTCAAAATAAAAAGTTAAAAAAATCATGTACAGCTCTATAATACATTAATAAAATCAAATATCATTATTTTCAAAATAGATTTTAGATTATTAATAATCAGTGCTTGACAAGTTTATAATACTGGATGTTAACTTTACATACTGATAACATAATTTCTCATTCTGTAAGGTTAAAAATAGAGCTGAGCTTCATGAAAAATGCTTTCTTATTGCCCCAAGCAAAAATATTACTACTTTGAAATTTTAATTTAAATGATTTAGAGAGTAAAAGGTATACTATGAAAAGCATGGTATCTCTTATATAGTCCAATCTAGCATGGTACAATGAAAAAACAAAACAAAAATGTTTCCATGTGAGTTAACAAGAAGATGCATTGCTTTGCTTCTTGGTAAAATGACTTCATAAAAATTGACTATATAAAGTGCATCGCATTTTAGAACTCAGTATATTCCGAAATCTATTTCTCTGGAAAAACGATGGTATCAATTAAAATGACTTACACATTACCAAATTAACCTAAAAAAGAATACCTGGTTCTAGACAATATTAATGTAAATCAGTAAGTTATTACCTGATTTCCAACTTTGCCACTTCAGGTAACTCTCCAAATTTTATTTCTTCTACCTCTAGTTCTTTAAGAGCAGACAGAATTTTCTGCTGATCTTTACTGGTAATTCCATTCTAAGTAGAAATAATTTTAAAGTGCAGTAAGGTAGTTATGCTAAAATAATTTAATATTCAAAATTACTAAAGATGTTTTCTACTTGATGAATTCACATCTTGAAAAAAGATACATATTGGAAAAACAACAAACATACTAAAAAATACACGGTTTGCTCGTAACTGTGATTGACAAGATTAGTTACATCATTAAAATATTTAGATACATGGGGACTACAGTCAATTTT